CTCCCCCCCCCCTTGGTACACCCTTGCCATGAACCACTCAATATTTCAAAAAGTGTCTACCTATAAAAAAAAAAAATTATATGGTTCCTAGTCAGAAAAAACAACATTTAAAAAAATATATTTTTTAATATTTTATATCCTTTAATAATTTTTGAGTTTTGTAATTTTTTGAATGATAACATAAAGTTTTAATTTCATAATCCAAATTAGAAAATTTGTATGAGTATTTCGATGGATAAAAATCGAATTTAGGACTAATAGTTTATGAGTTATAAAATTGTTAAATTTGATGATTGGAGTGAAACGCGGTTACCACGCAAAATGTTGGTCTACTACCTACAACAAAACTTTAAAATAAAAATAATATTATAACACATAAAATTCGATTTGTTTGTATCGAAATATTTAGAAAAATGTTCTCCTTAAATATAAGTCTGAAATTGTATTTTGTCATTCAAAAAAATATTACGTTATTTTAAAAAAAAAATTGTGTATTTTGACTTTGAATCATGTAAAAAAATATATTAAAAAACATTAACTATTAATTAAAAATATTACTTTCACAAGACTCTAAAAATAAAACAATGAATTTTTATTAGTCTATCATAGTATTTACTAAGAATAATTACGATATAATATTTTAATATAATGGTAGGATATAAAAAAATTTAACCATGACGTGTCCGATGATTTTGTACACGTAATTCAATTTTTAAACAATTATATAAATTATGGTCTACATCTATGTATGAAAAAAATGAATAAAGTTATTGTTGATAATATGAATTCTTATTCCTTTTCGCTTAACTAAAGCAAAATCAAATTGTATGAGTTATATTTTTTTATAATATTATATTAATATACCGCAGTTGGATCCACTAGAATTAGTTTGTATATAAATTCAATATACAGAAGATTTAATGTTTCCTCTAAAATCAAAAAAATATCTATTTTTTAAAAACACTAGGTATGTATATGTAACTAATTGTTGAGCTTTAATATATTTTTGTTGAAAGATAATAATTTAAAAAAAAAGTTTTCCTACATTATATTTATATATAAATTTAAATTTAAATTCAAATAAATGGCAAACATTTTTTTTCTTTTAGATCATATTATCATTATAATAATTGATTTCCGTTTTGAAGTTAATTCTAAATAATGTACAAAGCATTGCTGATAAATATTAACACAATAAAAAATTTTAATACAATAAAATATATAATCTTTCTATAACAACAATAGAATTCATACCTTTTAACTTTAGTATTTTATCATCTAAAGTAGCTGCAGGCATAACCCAAATTGCAATTACTAGGATTGTAAATGTTCTTAAATTATGCTTAAAAAAAATCATTTTGAATGAATATAAGAAAACAATAAAAATGATATGAACGTTGAAGAATGAATAAAAGAATTTAGTATTTCTCGATTTCTTTTATAAGCTATCTGCTATCTGCTCCTAATCTATACCTCTCAGCATACATAAAATAATGTTTGCAATAAGTAATTTATTTATTTATCATATATGAGAATAATATTACTCTCCATATTTTATCAGTAAGCGCCATGTTTATTATTATTTTTTTAACGCCTGAGTAAACAATGTGTATTTACTAGTTATTATTTAACATAAAACCCAACCCATATGCCTCGCGCATGGATTCAGTGGCGTGAATTATGGTCATTTTTGTGAGTGGATTGATTTACCCTCAACACTAATGAACTATATCATAAAAACCTCTCAGTCCAACCATTGTGATCTCAAATCTGTATAACGAAAGTAGATATAAACTATACAGATATAAGCATTGTACAAATTAAATTGTTTTTCATTAAAAATTAACAAATATAATATTATGACACAATAGTTCACCACTAGTCGATAAACGTCATAATATCGAGGGTACATTATGTTTTCTTTTTTAATCATAGATATATTTTTAAACTGGATATAAAATTGTTTTTCTTCAAACCAATATTTTTTCTAATTGATTTTTCATAACGTTTTGCTTGTCGTAATATCGTCCAACAAAAACAATGAATAATGCTTCAAAATATATTTCTACTGCGCTATATACCCGAAACATTACCTAAAATTAATTAATTTTCCAAGCAGAGGAACGCAATATTATATAGTATAGATAGCAAGTTTTTAACACCTGAGTAAATAATTATATGCAAGTTAAACACGCTGAAGAGGCAACAATTGGATAACTGTTATTATATACATGGCCTAGAAGAATATGGCATTGGAAAAACCATTTTGGGAAAAAATCGATTTCATTGTTTTTATATGATAAATTGTTTATGAATTTTTAACAAAATGAACCAGTTTTTGAATTTCTTTGGTAAACTATTTAAAACCAATTCGAACGTGGGCGCTGCATTTAAATATTGTAGCGTATCCGCTTTTGGAAAAATTATTCGAATTCTTGTTTTCTTAATAATTTTTGTTGTACTTTTTTATTCAATATAAAATACTTTTTTCAACTCAAAAAAATAGTTTATATTCGTGACAAAACAAATTTTTCTATTAAAAATCAGGCACATTATAAGTAGGTAATGAACAATGGTTTTTCTCTTTGAATAAAATATGATTGACTCACTTTAATTTCCAACCGTTTCCAAAGTGACAAATAATAACGGGGAAAAAATATATTCTAATAGTATTCGAACATGTGTTCAGAAAAATGTAATATTGTATTCATTCAAATACATAATATTTTGAATACATAACATACAAGACTTTTAAAACTATATAATACATAACTGTTATCTACACTGAAAAAAAAAATACTATAATATTATAATTGAACAAATTATAGTAGATATAACTATTTAATAGGTAATATAACTAAAATGATTTACTTATTATGACTATATAAATATAGTAAGTTATTTTTTATGGTAATGTTTACTATATTTTATAGTTAATGAAGTTTTTAATGTTTGAATTAATTAAAAATTATAGTTAAAATAGCATATTTCAGTTCAAATAACTATAATAACTTGACTATGATATTTTAGTAAATCTGACTAACCTTATATCTATGGCAATTGTAATGTACAGTCAATCCTACTATTTTCATAGTACAAACAACTGTTTTGTTTTTTTCCGTGTAACTTTTGTTATATATTATGTGTATCGCACCACTTTCGCCACGTTTTATTTGTATTACCTATATTATTATTTGTCATTTTAAGTGTTTGATACTCATAACTTGTTGTTTTTTAATATTGTGTATCAATTTCCGTGTTTTGTGTATGTGTGTATGGGGGGAGGAGGGGGCCCGTACAGCCAAATGGCTGGACTGCGCTCCACTATAATATAACAAATTTCGAGCACTTGAATTTTACGTCATTCTTGTAAATTATATTATTTTTATCTGAGCCAAAATGGTTATAATATTATTATTGGTTTTGAATAATGGTTTTTTTTATCATTATTGTATAAGTATAGTATGCTGTTCATGATTTGTAAAGAATTCAGTGTGAAAGTCCAATATATCAATATACAGGATTCCCCGTGAGGACATACCCATTAGCCGTAGAGGGGGACGATGAGTCCGAACAAAAACCGGTTTTTTGCCAATATAAACCCAAAAACTAAAATTTTTTTTAAAAATCATGAGATATAATAAAATGTTGAAAAGTAAAAATGTTCACAAAAATAAAATCTATAAAATAGATATTTTCAGTTGTTTAAAAAAAAAAATATGTGTAGTCCTTGTCTCTGTGAGTCTAATTAAAAAAAAAAAAAAAAAAAACAGATGTACGATATATTTATTATCTTAGGAGATTTCACAATGGGTAAATCCTTGCGGGACATCCTGTATAGTGTATAATATAATATATAATGTTATATTATTATAATATATAATGTTATATTATTATAATAATATAGTATATTATACAAATTAACATTAGGTTGGTCGTTGGTTTTTATTAATGATTATAGTACTAAATTATATGGGTTATGGCTGCTATGAATAGATAATAATATTATACTATATTTTTGTGAAATTAAATTTTTGTTCAAACATCCTTTGTTCCACTCGACAAATGATTTTAATTGCTCCTGAATTCGAACTGGATAGGTAATCTAACGTACACTAAACCAACTATAACCAGATGTGCCTGTCATAGGTGACATTGTGGCAGTAATCGAAGTGAGAAAAATATAATGGAGGAATTAGTTATTATTGTCTTTCCTATAAACTACCCTGAAACAAATTTCAACACAATAAAAATAATATGACCATCTAAAGAAGTGTATAACCTTTTTATAAATGTACTTTAATAACTTGTACCTTTAATCAATTTTTCTCTATAATTATTTTAATCGCGTGAAATAAATTCCGAGCGTGTATATTAGATACGACCCGTCGGACGGTGTGATTTTATGACGTCACGCGTAAAACGCGACTTATATATATATATACTTACACGGAACCAATTGTCTGACAACAATTTTAAGACCACCAAAATTATTCTTTTTCAAAGCCCTATACATTAAAATAATAAAAAAAAAATTGGTTATTTTTAGTTGTATAGTCCTTCAATATAGTTATATTGGTAGGAAACATTCGTGCTAAAATGCGTGTAGTTGGTACGAGGTATCTTCGTTTAATACAAATATACAGTTTTTGACAAAGTGAATGAGCAGCCAAAGGGGTAAAAACTGTGAATGAATATTAAATTTGAACAGTATGTAATAGCCAAAATTACAGACTGTGAAAACATAATAACTAATAAGTGATAAGTATATGCTTATTCCATCTATCCTATCAATGCAGTCAATGCTGTGTTCTGTTACTATATATTATTTTATCGATTAAGTAGAACTATGTTGTTATGTAACAACTAATTATAATAAGATCTTTACTTGAGTATAATTAACAAAAATATGATAGTTGTAACACATTTATACGATAGTAAATATAACACAATACTTTTTGTACAGTTCCGTAAAAAATAAAAACAATTATTTCTAATAATCAGAAGTCATCGTCAGTGTAGTGAAGATGACGTTTGTAAGGTTCATAGCGATTCCGGCGGTTGTTAGCACGGTAAAATTTGCTCTTCTTCGTGTGTTCGGGTCTCCGCTCGTAGTACACAAAGTACATTGGATAAAATTCATTATCATTAAACTTAACGTAAACGTAACCGTTAGAGCTAATTGTCGTATCTGCACTATTGGGTGGTACAATCAAGGTGTCTCCATTGTCATGTCTAGGGATCACGTAGGTGTCTCTTACCAGTACGGAGCATATTATGATCACTAATGTGTCTGCAGCCATTCGCGAGAACAGAAAAAGAAAAGAAAATCTCACATTATTAACTAATATAAAGTAAAGGTATAATATTAATGGTACCTGCACGTGAAAGCAATGGACAAATTGTTCTATTATTAAATAATATAATGGTATTATTAAATACTGAACAATAATGCAAAAAAAAAAAATTGCAGAAATCATTATTTTGGAAGTTTGCAATTTTCTGTTTTTACTCATACGCACGACCGCGACGTTGAGGTTTACCACAATAGGTAGTCATTAAAGTGAAAGAATACAGATTTAAAAGAGTGGACCAAGATAACGACATAAAAGCAGAAATATCGATGGGGTTAAAATCAGCAAATAAGTTTCTAAGGACTAAAAAATTTTTTCAGATCAAGAGGAATCTCTAATAACTTAAAAGTTAGGATGTACCTAACGTTGTTAAGGCCAATTGTCTTTTACGGAGCGGCAACAGGGTTACTGAGAAAAGCTGAGGAACACAGGATGGCAGTGTTTGAAAGAAAAGTACTCGGGAAAATCTATGGGGCACACTTTGGTGTCCAGACAATTGAATGGAGGGAACTACACAATGATGATCTGCAATCCTCTTTTCAGAGACCAAATATAGTAAAAGAACTTTAAAAAAGAAGACTGGTTTGGCAGGACATATCTGGAGAAAGCATGGGTCGCTGATTAATTTAGTAATAGAGGAAAACCCAGTAGGGAGGAGACCTCTTGGAAGACCACGTTTAAGATGGGAAGGTTGCGTTAAAAAAGATTCAGAGACAGAAGAACCGAATAGGCATTGGCGGGATATAGCAGAAGACAGAGATAGGTGGCAGTATGTTTATTTAGAGGTATGGTCTTAATTGGCCGAATCCAGAATAGAAGAAGAAGAATAATAAAGTATGACTGAGCAGAAGATAGGCTAATTTAAAAAGGGAGAGGACCAACCCCGAGAGGTGCTCAAACAGGGATTTTGAGATTTCTGATGGGAATTTTTGTTTATAAATTGTTGAGATGGGTTTGGAAGCTATTTTAATAATTATTATTGGTTGCCGGGCAACGAAGTGCACGGGATCAGCTAGTTATACCTAGATATAATCGTATAATTATTTAATTTCTCATTAGATGCTCAACTGGATTTTAAACACAACAATACCAAAAAACCAGCCAAGTGCGAGTCGGACTCGCGCACGAAGGGTTCCGCACCCAGCCGGTGTTATCATACATGTCGATGACACTGCTTATATTATATATTCTGACTGATTTTTAGTATTTGTTGTTATAGCGGCAACAGAAATACATTGTATGTGAAAATGTCAATTGTCAAACTTTCACGGTTCATGAGATACAAACCTGGTGACAGACGGGCGGACGGACAGCTGAGCCTTAGTCATAGGGTTCCGTTTTACTGTACGGAATAATAAAAAGTTATATAAATTTAAAAAAATCATAAACACATTATTAGCAAAACTTAAAACTTGGCCACTTGGGGCATTTTCCAATTTTGCGTCTGTGTGGTGCATTTTAGTGATGAAAAGGGATGCGTATAGCATTTTGTCAATAAATAAACGCATATCAATAATAAACAATATTATTAAATACCTTCGGTGTGGCGATTATCAGCGTAATAGTTGGCATAGTCAGCGTTGTCGCTAAACGAAACACCGCGCCCGAACTTGTTGCGGTTAGTGCGTCTCCAGTCAAGTCCGCTCTCTAACGACTCTATTGCTCTGGACTCGGTGGTCACGTGGAACAGAATTTTCTCCTGGACACTTTTGCCAACTTTCAGTTTCATTTCTTCTTCGCGCAGCAAATACATACCGTACATCTGTGGGGCGTAGACATGACGTATCTTACTGATGTTGCACTGAAATACATGAGCGATATATGATTATATTTTAATGTTTAGAGAACATAATAGTATTTACTAACATATTATAAAATGTTGTTCAGTTTGTTAACTAAAATTAGTAAAATATAGATAGTATTTCAGATATAGGTAGGTAATATTATTAGAATATTAGGAAATTCATTGTTGCATATTATGTTCTAATGATTTAGATGTACTTTATTAAATTTGAATATATTATGAGATGCAGGAATTAGCTCATCCGCATAAAATCGTTGCTTTTTACAAGAGTTTGTTTACTTGTATATCACATATTATGCTTATTATAAATTATTAATATGAATTCTTGTATACTGTTTAAATTCTGAGTGGAGCGATGACAGTAATTTAAACGTTAAGTAGATTTAAGAATTTTTAATAATTTTAAAATATAATAAGCCGGTAATGTTAACCCAACACAAATGTTTGACAAAATTGACTTAACGTCAATAATAATTGTTAGTGATTAAAGTTATACACATAATATTTACAAAACTAAGTATAAGGCGTATAACTGTATTATAAGTGTATCGCTGCTCATATTTAGTATTTTGCTAGCGGAGAAACGGAAGGGAAAAGCAAATGTAGTAAGGCGGGTGGACAGGAAAGGACTGGGAATAAAAATTGGTCCAGGAGAAACAGAAAATTCGGAAGTTAAATATTTATAAGTTATCGGCCCAGATTTATTCGAGCATCCCAAATTTTCGCCAGGCCCAGACTGGGATCGCTAACCCGCCACCCTAGCCAGTCAGCCCTAAGGGTGAATGACTGAACCAAATTAGTGATTTATCATTAATTATAGTGCTATACTACTTATAACTAGGGATGAGAAGTATATTAGGTAAAATTGGCAAAATATGCACAGAAAAAAACAAAAATATGCATAAAAAATGTACTATAACAATTAGGTATTATTCTGATAGATAATAAATTATTATTGTACTATTGAAAAGTTATACTACTTTTTTTACTTGAGTACTATAGTATTAAATTATTTTACAACAAAAAATAAATGCCCCTATGTGAATAAAGTAAATTGAATTGAACATTTGAATATTTGCAGCATCTAAACGACGACGATTGTCCGAATAAATATTATTACATTTTAGGTTTGAACGCCGTATTATTGAAACTACAGATTTTGTGTTCGATTATTGTTACCTATTACTTATTGTCATTTACTAAAAATGCAATTTATATGCACGAAAAATCATTAATTTGCTATTCCTGAAAAGATCACCAAAATATAAAAAAAATAAACTACAAATTTGAACTCACTAGATTATAGAACAGATTCTTAACTCGCCTAGCTATAAATAGAGGACATGGACAAAAATATGCAATTTCTATAACTTCTCATCCCCACTTATAATATCAGGTATATATTTTAGTGATTAGTGAAACACATTGATTATAGTTATTAGTAATTTATTTATACTTATTTATCATCAGTTACAATTGACAATAGTTAAATACCTACTTAAATGTTACCAACATTAATAGGTTATTAATATTTTAATGTTTACTAAATAACACCAAAAAGTAATAAATCATGTGTGGTAAGGAACAATACGATCATTTATAAACCGTCACGGTACTCACGTTTGGAAAGGTGTTTTGTACGAGTTGTTTAATTTGATTGTAGCCATTGAAATTTAATTCACCAAGCAGTGGACGGTTGGTGTTATTATTGCAGGCTGCTAATAACGAAGCACGTTCCAAAAAATGGCCCGCAGCGTGCACGGTTAACATCGACGCGCAGCTGGTGTCACTGCTACTTCTGGAGTCCGTTATAATAGTCGGTGCGCTGGTGTCATTGCTACTGCTGGAGTCCATTATAATAGTCAATGGGTGGATGTTATTGCTAATGTTGGAGTTCATTATTATAGGCGATGGGCTGGTGTCTTTGCTACTGCTGGAGTCCATTATAATAGTCGGTACACTGGAGTCCATTATAATAGGCGATGGGCTGGTGTCCTTGCTACTGCTGGAGTCCATTATAATAGTCGGTGCGCTGGGGTCATTGCTACTGCTGGAGTCCATTATAATAGTCGGTACGCTGGAGTCCATTATAAAAATCGGTACGCTGGAGTCTATTACAATAGGCAATGGACTGGCGTCTTTACTACTGCTGGAGTCCATTATAATAGTCGGTGTGCTGGTGTCATTGCTACTGCTGGAGTCCATTATAATAGTCAATGGGTGGATGTTATTGCTAATGTTGGAGTTCATTATTATAGGCGATGGGCTGGTGTCTTTGCTACTGCTGGAGTCCATTATAATAGTCGGTACGCTGGAGTCCATTATAATAGGCGATGGGCTGGTGTCCTTGCTACTGCTGGAGTCCATTATAATAGTCGGTGCGTTGGTGTCATTGCTACTGCTGGAGTCCATTACAATAGCCGATGGGCTGGTGTCTTTACTACTGCTGTAGTCCATTATAATAGTCGGTGCGTTGGTGTCATTGCTACAGCTGGAGTCCATTATAATAGGCGATGGGCTGGTGTCATTGGTATTTCTGGAGTTAATTATAATAGTCGGTACGCTGGAGTCCATTATAATAGGCGATGGGCTGGTGTCCTTGCTACTGCTGGAGTCCATTATAATAGTCGGTGCGCTGGTGCCATTGCTACTGCTGGAGTCCATTATAATAGTCAATGGGTCGATGTTATTGCTAATGTTGGAGTTCATTATTATAGGCGATGGGCTGGTGTCTTTGCTACTGCTGGAGTCCATTATAATAGTCGGTACGCTGGAGTCCATTATAATAGGCGATGGGCTGGTGTCCTTGCTACTGCTGGAGTCCATTATAATAGTCGGTGCGTTGGTGTCATTGCTACTGCTGGAGTCCATTACAATAGCCGATGGGCTGGTGTCTTTACTACTGCTGTAGTCCATTATAATAGTCGGTGCGTTGGTGTCATTGCTACAGCTGGAGTCCATTATAATAGGCGATGGGCTGGTGTCATTGGTATTTCTGGAGTTAATTATAATAGTCGGTACGCTGGAGTCCATTATAATAGGCGATGGGCTGGTGTCCTTGCTACTGCTGGAGTCCATTATAATAGTCGGTGCGCTGGTGCCATTGCTACTGCTGGAGTCCATTATAATAGTCAATGGGTCGATGTTATTGCTAATGTTGGAGTTCATTATTATAAGCGATGGGCTGGTGTCTTTGCTACTGCTGGAGTCCATTATAATAGTCGGTGCGCTGGTGCCATTGCTACTGCTGGAGTCCATTATAATAGTCAATGGGTCGATGTTATTGCTAATGTTGGAGTTCATTATTATAGGCGATGGGCTGGTGTCTTTGCTACTGCTGGAGTCCATTATAATAGTCGGTGTGCTGGTGTCATTGCTAATGTTGGGGTTCATTATAATAGTCGGTACGCTGGAGTCCATTATAATAGGCGATGGGCTGGTGTCTTATTTGCTACTGCTGCCGTAGTCCATTATAATAGTCGTAGTGCAAAACTGCTGTGAAAAAAAAAATATACATTTTCCACTTCAAAGAAAAAATGTATATGTTAATATTAATTTATTTTTATATTTATATTTATATTTATATCATTGTCGTGGTTGCAAAAAAATTCATTTAAATAATTTTACGAAAAATCTGACGGAAAATAAAAAGTTGTATCCAGCCTAAAATCATTTATATTATGTTAATATTTGAATTCTTATAGCTATGTCTTGAAAATTAAATACAAGATCCCCTGATAACTCAAAAGTATTCTTACAGTAGAAACTTAGTCGAAGAAAAATGCTTCGTTAATCTAAAAATAGAACAATTCTTTCCACATTTATAGTTCAAATTTGAATGAAATCAAATATTTAAATGAAGAACAACAATTTATTATTAATCATAAATTATTTTGTTAAAATTTAAACATAATATACGTGGGGGACTAGAAGCTTTTACCTATGCGGCTATGCACACACATAATAGATTAGTGTTGGGTCTAGTCCACGACAAATTCCATCACTAGAAGTGGACAACTTTCTATCATTAGACTAAATAGAAACATCGTTACCATAATATATAATGGTAATGACTAATGAGGGTTAGATAGAAAATGTCCGATCCGACATTAGTACATTACCAATGCGTAATATATAAATATAATACCTGTGTGGATATACTTAGCTACCTATATTCAGTGTTAGGCATTATCTAGATACATATTTCGTATATTTCATCTCATCTAGATAACTTTTAAATGATTTATCTATTATCTTATCTAGATAATTATTTAGACTAGTCTATTTTTTTTTTTTTAAGATATTTATTCACACAGTTTCATTGCATTGTAATAATATGACCCGTGAATCTACAAAAAGTTAATATAGAGAAAATATAACACTATATAGAGAAAAAAATATTTGTTATCAACAATATTCTTTCCGATAAAAATTAAAAACCAAAAACTATTATTATGGTATACAATAACTAATGACAGAATTCTAAGGAAAAAATTTTTTTACTAAAATACTACATCTCTATTCAATCATAATGTGGTTATAAAAGGGTTGAATGTTTTTTTTTTTATGTAACTAAATGTACTTACCATAGTATCAATCTGTTGACTGTTTATGTAACATAAAATAAATGTAATATCAATGTAAATGTATTATATTTTATTTTTATAATCAGCTATCAGCTATAGTTTTTTTTTCTAAGTATTATCTATTTAATTTTTTCTTGAAATTATCTATTATCTATATAATTTTTTCTTGAAATTATCTATTATCTAGATAATTTTATTCGAATTAATCTATTATCTCATCTAGATGATTGTATTGAAAAATACCTATTATCTTATCTAGATAAATATTTGATTATCTATGCCTAACACTGCCTATAGGTAAAGACTGAAAATTACCTTCATTTGTAGTTTGCACTAAGGTGTGAACCGTGAGGTAATCGAACGCAGCACACATATTTACCTATACCTACATAATATTATTATCCTATTTACTATGCTAACGAGCTGTTTTTACATTTTAAACGATAAAAATATGGATCACGTAATATATTAAATAAATCTAAATTAAAAATACATTTAATACAGTTATTAAACTGCATGTTGATATTAAGATAGCCCGGGTAGGTATTATAAATTGCATAAATTACTTTCTGATTTTTTTTTTTTTTTATAATTCCCTATAAAAGCGTAATCCGATAATATTGATGAGGTTGAGTCTAGTGCGAGATTTATCCTCTTATTAATCACCTCATGATAGGTATCATTCTAGGTCATGTAAAAAGTGGTAGGTAGGTAGGTACCTGTGTTTGCAGAGATTTTGATTTGCATATATGTATTGATAATAATATTATCATAATATGTACCACAGAAGTAAAGTAAAGTAACCTTAAGTCCATTTTACTAAATATTGAGTTAGTTCCATAATCAGAGTAGTTATCCTTTATGTGATCTTTTTAAATTTATTAAAACGTAAGTCCGACATACAATAAATTCATAGATAGTAAGAAGTATACTAACTTAAGTCCTAAACTATGATGGGAGTATTGCAACTTATGTCCAGCGTGATACATAAAAAAGTAATACAAAATAATATTTTTGAAGTATACAATCCGTAAGTCCATTGAAACAAGCATTTTTGTTTTGTTTCTACTATAAAATTTGCTTTATGTGACTTGCGTTACTTTACTTCTGTGGTACAGATAGATAGGTATAAAGAAATAATAGATATAAATGTATAATTGATAAATTAACTATTAAGACAGACCTATTTTTTATTTGATTACCTTCTGCAAAATAACAGGGTGTTATTATATATTAATTAATGATTAATGGATTTTGCACAGCAGTTCCTAAGCTTTATATGTGATATTTATTAGTACTATTAATCAGTGTTGGGTAGTAACGTAACGAAAGTAACTCGTTACTATAACGGCGTTACTTTACTTGTAACGCGTTACGTAATTTCATTAGAATTATTTCCAAGTAACTAAAATTTAATGTAAATTACTTTTGAAAAGTAATTTCTATAGAATAACGCTTTACAGTTTCGAATTATTAAGTAAATGCCTACCAATTGCGAATTGAAAAAAATATATATGTATAATGCTGGTATTATTATGTTTACCAATCTAATATGTATATATATTTAATTTTAACTCACCACAATACAGTTTTCAATGGTTTTGACATTTGAAATGTCTAATTGCACCGTAAAAATCACGAAAACCGGTTTTTTTTTGTAACGAGAAAGTAATGAGTTACTTTTCTATCCTAAAAGTAATTTCATTACAATTTTATTTGAGTAACGAATAAAGTAACTTAATTACTTTTTAAAAGTAACTTACCCAACACTGCTATTAATTATTCTTAGTACATTTTGAGGAATGAGGTTCAGATGTTGCGTACGACGTAAGTTATTTATTTTGATATTATATAATTATTATATGTATTGTTAACATAGCTGGTATTCTTTATGTTATAGTATAATAAATAATATAGAAATAGAATTAGAAAAAACTAGAATTATAGAAAACCTAGTTGTTTTATGTGAGGCATGTTAGAGCTCAATCACACTCACCTCAATTTAGGTTTAAATTACGCATATTATTATAATCAAATCCTGATTTTTGGAACTTTTAGTGTAATTATAAACGATATTTTTGAATATTTAGATGTTTCACAAGATTTAAGGAGTATCCTGTGGCTACACCAACTTTAATTTTTCTAATCGGAACCTACATGACAACCTACATTGTGTTAATGCCAATTGTGGGTCAAATTATTTTTCTGACTATTTTGATGTGGTACCTGCAGTATTCAAAATTCGATTGAAAGTTTCAAGTTATTCTACTTTAAATACTAAGAATAATAGTCTAATAAAAGGATATTATTTAATTTTGTTTTGAAAATTATTGGGTGCAATATTAATCCATAACCATTTTATTATCTTACAATTGTCTGAGTAGGTACCTATATTCAACTAAGTAGTAATTATTGACAAATATTTTATACTGCATACTTAATTATAATTACCGAGATTATATCCGTTTACAAATAATTTATCAGACAATTAAAGTATTTAAAGAAGAATGACTCAGAAATATTTAGTTTAAATTTCGATACAGACGTATTCACAATTTCCATTGAACATTAAAGCATGTATAGTTCTCATTTGAAAAGCAAAAGTTGGTAATTGGAATCGGCACATGATAAGTACTTTTTAAATTTTGTGAAATATCTATATTCAAAAATATAGGTTTCAACAACATTTAAGAATTAAAAAAAAAATCGAAATTTGAGTATAATATATCTATATACATAGATAATTTAACATAATAGGTAACGGGGTGAGCACACTTGAAAAACCAACTTGTTTTATATTCATATTTCAAGGTAAACTTTTTGTATTTGATTGATATTCTAATATATTATAAATACTTACTTATTCCTGAAGCAAACGTTCCAGCTCTGATGGCATAATATGTACTGCGATGGCATAGACGGAGCTAACCCAACGTTCGAATCAGTGAAGACTGAAGACTCACTGAATATTGTTATTGTTTAGGTCCTGGCACTCCTACTATATATTATACCATTAGCGTGTCTTAAAGGTTTGTGCGATAGCTGTTGTTTTGATTTATGGGAAAGGTACGTAAGTACAAAATGTGTTTTTGTATATTTTATCATGGTAGATAATCCTTAAGTACATTATATATTATAATTATTTTATTAATTTAATTAATGTATCATTAATTAATATGCTAGGGTACAATGTATAATATGGTGATACATGTAGAATACAACAGTGGCATATCGCACATTTAATATAATTGTTATGATATTTAATAATTAATTAGGAAATAATTAGGTATTATGGCATAATAATATGAATAGCATTCCAATACTTATGTAAGTATGAGTGTACAAGGTTACATAAACATAATGCATATTAATAATATATTGTATAGGTACCTACCTAAAATTTCCGTACCGTGCTAATATTACGTTCACAGTAAGTTACAGTATTGCCAGTAATTGAAAATATATACAATCAACTATCAATTCGTATTAATTGATGCATTATTATTTATTGACGTAGTCGGATTGCTTATATCTGGCGGCTACCTAGGTTACCTACTACCTAGGTAACTGCCAACTGGCTAGGTTGCATATTCTGTCGATCATCGCCGGGTCCGCAAACCACTGCAGCTTCCACCATCCTCCGTCTATTAGTATAAGGTCTGTGTATAATACGAGATTTTATTCTTGCATTAAAATAAATATGAATATTATTATTTATTACTATTATTTTTCGTTTATTTTAAGTAGTCTTCGGTGCACATCATACTGACTATTATTGTTATTTTTTTTAAATAATTACGAAACTATAGTGCATGGCCACTGACGGCACAGAGCCGCGCAGAGATTGAGGGATCGCACACTGTCACACTTTATAGGTACACGTCGTGAAACGTGAGTACGTGACTACTGTAACAACACTGATTGCTTTTTGTGACCACGGTTAAAGTTAACTATTATAGCTATTCATTTCTTGCCTGTCATCCCTCTACCCCGGATAACGCTAAAATATATCTAAATCGATGGAGTACGATTGCGGGGCGGCCCCCTTTTCGGCCAAAACTTACCGTTCCCTTTTCGGCCAGCACCTACAGTTGCTAAGTTATAACAGCGACAGTTATAAAAACTGAACTTAACAATTTTTATATTTAATTAAAAAAAAAATAAAATAATTATTGACATATTATTATTACAATTGATTATGTTATATTATATTATTATAAATTCATGAATAGATTGCAAAATATTAAGATTTCCGATTACTCACATTAGTTGAAAAAAAATTAACATAGTCTTGTAATACCTATGTTATAATAATTATGAAAGTAAAATATGAATTCAATAATTCATGAATATGTCAAAATTGAAAATATTATGATTTCCGTATCCATTAGTTGAAAAAAAATAATATAGTCTTATAATACCTATGTAAAAAATAATGATGATAGTAAAATTCACTTTTTATAATTATATGATATTTGCTTTACAAATTTGTAACGACATATTTTACTATTTTTATATTCTTTAATGTAAGCTTCATTTCTTCGTTGTCGTTCTACATTTTTTGCATCACGAGGTGTTTTAAAATGCTAATACTTCTCATTTTTATGTATATATCTGTTTGAACTTCATTAATAAGGACAGATAACCAGCTCATTATGGATGGAGTATGTTTATAAAAGCTTTGATTGAAAAAGGAGTGGAACGACTCGCAAGCATTAGTGGTTCTAGCCAAACTTCCCTGCGCAGCAGCCCAATATTGAGATGGAAATAAGCTCTCTTCATTTATGAAATTGTCAGTCAAGTAATCACAGTAATTTTTTAATCTTTCATCATCAGGACAGTATAATAATATATAATAGGAATATAATGTCCATTTTTAAGTATGTGGATGGTAAACATTTGAGTAAAAAACCGAGGACAAAATTTAAATGTACCATCCATGTAACACTGGTTTATCTTTATTAAAATAAACTTACATTGAAGAGTAAAGATAATAAAATTAGTAACATTTTTCAAACGAAAATTAATTTTTAGGTAATTTATTTGATTGAAATCATTTTATTACCAATTATTTTATTTTATTATTTTTTCACTCAGTTGTAGGTAATAATGTTTATCAAAAATTATATTTTTGAATACAATCATATTTAATTAAATATAAAAATTGTTAAGTTCAGTTGTTACCTATATATAATATATATAATTATTAATTACATATTTTAAAGAAAACTGTAGGTGCTGGCCGAAAATGGAAGGGTACATTTTGGCCGAAAATGCTTAAGCCCCGATTGCGCGCGTTTTACCTTTTTGGGCATACGATTGCGTGCAATGCTGGAATAACAAAGAACATGCTTTTGACTATTCAAAAGCGTACAATTGCGAGTGAAAATGGATGGGAAGTTGCCAAATTATTATTAAAATTTAAAATAATTATTATTATAAAAAAATATCGTTAGCATGAACTGCTACGTCATTTGTCGGTGCTAAGTGTACCATTTTTAACGATACGATTTTAACACAGAAGAAACACCAGACAAACAAATTTTCGACTATCCCATTGACATCTTCTAAATTCAATTTTTTAGGTCAAAAAAATAAAAAAAAAAAAAAAAACAATAATAATTTTAAATAATGTATTTATTTCTAATAATATTATGAGCGTGCGTTATACGACAACTAATCAGTACAACTTTTAGTAATGAAGTAACGAGAGGTCAAAAATCGTATAATTTACAATTAATATTCAACAAACTAGCTAATTAATTATCGAATTATATTTAGATTTGACATTCCCAGAAGGCTACGTGTTACGTGTACTATATTTGGTACACGATTGAAAATCATCAATTTCGATACAAAAAAAAATCGTTATAATAAAATAATATAAAATATTCGAATAGATAAATACAATTTAAATTCTGCCAAATTATTATTAAAAGCCCCCACCCCCCCCCCCCCAAAAAAAAAACCTAGGACATACAATTTTAAAATGCTATATTGCAATGGTCTGCTTGCCTTTCATATATTCAGCCCCCCCCCCCCAAGTAAAAATTTGAAGTTGCGCATATGGAAGGTGGGTCCACGCTTTCGATGGGGCAATATGCTGTAAATATTTGATTTTAATTAAATAAACGATATACTGCATGGTGGCCAAGCAGTATGCAAACGGCAGTTCCTCATGCATGGCGGTGCCACAATAATAAAAAAAATTTTATTTTGGACGTAACGCTGGTCGGGTGATAGATTTCTGTATCGGAGGGTCGGTTTTTTAATTGAATTTAACTGATAGTAGGACTTGGACTGTAAGTTAAAATTATGCGGGTATGTGCAGCCATTTAAGCTAACCACTGTGTTTAGCCGATAATTAAATTAACCACTACTATTTCATATGATTAACTTTTAAACTGTCGCAGTTAAGCACGACGTTCGTGAACGGGTAGGTACGTGTAACGTGTGTGTAATTCTCAAGATATAGGGTCGTTTAACATAATTACATTCGAACACTATAAAGACTGCCATAGAAAGAACGAGTTCGGCAAAATCATAATAAAATAATATATAGGTACATTATTCAGTTGTTTATTATAGGACAATAGCTATCTGGCATATAATATAATGTTTTTTTTTTCATATTTATTGTATATTTTATAAGTTTTAAAATTTAAAACAATTGTTAACAGAAATATTATAAGTATATTAAGGTTATTTGTTTTGTTTAAGGTAGCTGAAAATATAAAACAATTACATATAATAATCAAAAGGTACTTCTATTATCATTTTCGACTGAGGAGACAACGAGCGCCGGCGTTGCTTCCTGTTTTGACGTCTACGGCGCGGCGGCGGCGTCGACAACGCTTGCTTGCTTTGGCGTGACAGCGTCGTCTTTGGCTGCTGCTCGTTTGCGTCGGCCTCAGCTTTGGCTGCGGCTGCGGCGCGTTTGCGTCGGTCTCGACGTTTTTTGGTGGCGTTTCTTCTTTTGTATGGCGGCGTGGCGGCGGTGGCTTTGGCTGCGACGTGTTGGCTGTTAGACTCGTCGATAAGCAGATTAGCTACTTGCTTACACAACGTCTCTTCCTGCTGCAACCTCTGGTGATTATTGTTGTTGTTGTTGTTGTTGTTGTTGTTGTTGTTGTTGCTTTTGTTGTTCTTGTTCTTGTTCTTGGTGATGGCATTGAAATATTTACTTTCTTTAAATAGTTCCGGTGTCCACCGGTAATAAATGAAAAACAGCGGGTAAGACTCGAAGTCGGTGTACTTGACAAATACGTGGTCGTTAGGGCTTACCGTAGTATCTGCGGTGCCAGGTGGTATGATTAGACGGTTCTTTCGGTCCAGTTTTTCGGTCACCAGATACGGTGTGTCATTAATTAGCACAGTGCTCATGACGATAACTCGAACACCTGCGGCCGGACGTGAGAACAGAAAAAGAAAAGAAACGCTCAATCATTAACTCGTATGAAATGAAAATTGTTCAATTATAATAATAATATAATATACGTCAAAGTATACCTATTCTTACAGGATAATTTTAAAACTAACAACACTAATTTTTGAAAAATAATGTATTTTGTAACTTCAAGTCATTACAAAAATAAAAAAAATATTTATTTAATAACTTTTTTTAAGATTTTATACTTTTTTGAATATATATATATATATATATATATATATATATATATATATATGTATATATGAGGAATGTGTACATAAAATCTGCTTCCCTATGTCGATTTACGTGGAGTTGCGCAAATCTATTTTAATTTCGATACATCGATTTTACAATTCATATCGAAATGAAAATAACGATTTTCAGTCCTTAATAATAACACAAGTAACGAAAACATTATGAAAAATCGGTCAGAAATATTTTATCCAGCCCAAAAATATACCTATTTATGTAAAAAACATGAGAGATTTTTCAATTCCAAATTATCGAGACGATATAATATCGACAATACACCCCGAGAATTAGATCATTCAGCATCGATTATTACACGTGTTTTAGTGTTTAGTGATGTGTTATGTTACTTTCAAGAACTGAGTTACTAAACTATTTTATTATTATTTACTTGTAGGTAGTGTTTTTAGTTGAAATATGTATTTTTTACAATAAATTATAATGGGCAGTAGTGATAATCGTATAGTCGGACTAAAAAATTAATTTTTGTGTCTACAGATTTATAGAAGACCTGTCGAAGCAAAAGAAAATTGTGTTTTCTCTATCCTATTTAAGTTACAATTAAAGCATATTGTGGCTTATCCGAGGAAACTAAGAGGCGAAGAAAGTGAAGATATTTGAATAATGCAATTCCAGAACTACGATGTGGCCCATCGTTCAAGTCTCCGCGTAAAACGTATAAACTGCAAAACCATTGACTCATGACTGAGTTTTAGATGATTTTGATACAGATATAGTACGTAGACCAGTAGATGAGTTCTGTGACAGAGGTTTGTACCAAATAGCTCTTAAGATTTTAACAGAAATGAAGAAAAAGTGTGCTTGGGAAGGTTCGATGCGTTCGGTTTAAAAAAATTTGACATTTTATAATGATAAGAAATGTCTCATGAAAATCTTTATATAAAGCTTTATATACGCTTTATAATATATACCTAAATTAGCTCAGTTCAAAATATAAACGAACATTTTGACGAGTTTGATACTTTTTAGTGGGTGACCTCCCCATTTTCCTGCGCACGGTAATTACTTATAATGAAGGAAGTCGATTTGGTCAAAAATTGGGTATAAATCGGTTTCCGTGGAGTAACTACCTAGTATACTTATAAACATCTGAATATTTTGATAACAATTTTTGAAGGGGATCTGATACGTTTAAAGGTAAACACACTGATGCGGTGGCGGTAAAATTATTTTATCTTAGCCGTGTAAAATTGTGTTCGGTTTCATTTCGCCTTATCGTTAACCACTATCGTCACAGTTTGTGGGCCCTAAAAGTAGGGTTGGACGGTGTAGCATTTCGTCGAAAGATAAATATAGATTAATAAAAACACTTAATTATTTTTTTTTTACAGTTTACCTTCATTAGTGGATCGATTGGCGTAATAATTTCCGTAGTCCACGTCATTGCTGAACGCCACGCCACAGCCAAACTTTGCGCGTCTGGTGAGCCTCCAGTCGAGCCCATTCTTTAGAGACTCCAAAGCTCTGGACTTGGAGGTAATGTGGTAAAGCACCAGCTCCTGGGCATCATATCCGCCATTAGCCAATCTCATTTCCTCTTTGCGCAAGAGGTACATTCCGTATATATGTGGAGCGTTGACTCGATGTATATTAATGATGTCGCACTGTAATATTATACGAAATATAATGATATATTTTATACAATATTTTAATTTTAAGTTAATAAGTACTATTGATTAACCAATCAAATTCGTTAATATATAGCTATAATAATATAATATAAAATTTTAGATAATAATTCATTATTCATAACTAAACAAATGTGGGCAAGTGAATGTCGATCTGCTATACAGTAGGTTACAAGTGGGTCACTGTAATGGATTGTGTTAAATTTGAATTCAACGATATAATATCATTGTATAAGAAAATGATTCTGAGCGAAGACGGTCAGTTAGCCTATATGATATTACAAATTACCTATATTGGTTGTTTATTTAAATCGAAGCATTATTTCGACTATACTTATCGTATAGGTACACAGACAAAGTAAAAATTTAAAAAAAACATACGTCATTGTAAAATCCATACATTCATCGCTCCGCTCAGAATCTAAAATTCGAAAATGTCCAATGTTCATAAATAGGTGAAAAAGAACCAAAAAAAATATTTTTTTCTGTACTAAAACCTATTTTGTAAGTTCATAAGCAAAAGACACAAAATTAATTTCTTACCAAATAGTGTGCATTTAAATACTCATCACTTAAATACTAATAAAATACACACCTCTAAACTATATGAAAAAATTAAAATTATATATTTCATATAAGTAACATATTAGGTAATTACATTTGAATATATTGAATATAATATTTGTAATATAAAAAATAAAAATAATATTATATAATACAAAATAATATTAATATGTAATAATAACCAATAGACTTAGCTGTAATAAGTATTATATTATTTAAAAAATGAAGTTATTTATGAATAGTCAATTCAACATATTAATGCACATAAAATAAGAAAATAAATACCTATATAATGTAAATACTTAATATTTTAGTCGTTTTAGATACATAATATGTGCATTATAGATGTAGCGTGATGAATTTATATGGGATCCCCTTCTAAGCTAAAGCTTACAATGTTTAGAGTACACAAAATATATTTTCTAAAGATGTATGGTGGTGGAGTGCCCTTACTACGCCTATGAATACATGTAGGTACCAAGAATATGAAGGCTTATTTAAGAATAAGTATGTAACAATAATAATTTATAATATTTTATTTCTTTAATTATTATTCCAAAAAAATATAAAATACCTACTATGAAATATAATATATTAAGCCAGACGGTTGAATATATCTACTTAGTTTTTGGTAATTCAGTTATTTGAATTTTTATAGTTTATTTAGTATTTACGATATACGATTGAACATTGTCAAAACCGTTATAGAAATAAAGAGCAAATAGCTACAGGACTCATGTTTAGTGAAATAAAAATATGCTTTATTAATCCATATACAGGTAAATTAGGTAGTTATTTCATTTAAAGCTATAACAACACAAACATTGTTAGTACTATATTTACATCAACTCAAGAAACAAATGTATAACTAATAAAATCAATAAAAACATAAGAAATAATATTACTCCTTAGTCCTTGGAAAAAAAACTGTTGCACCTATTTAATGATATTTTCTCTACTTATTATACCTTGTGGAGCACAGTATAAAACTATAGTCTTAAAACATATCGACCAAACATTTATTAATGGACCTACTTTTTCTACTATAAAAGGAAAGTGCAATAGGTGATTGTTCTTTGGCATTAAATTGGTATTTAACAATTTTGTATATTCTTAGTGATGTTCATTAGTTAAGTTTTTATAATATAAATGGACATTTGGGTTCAACATTATTAATTGATGTGAATATATTTAAAACTGCATTTAATAAAATACATAATTGCCAGTTTTTTTTATTGCTAGGCATCATATTTTCATATCTTCTATCATCAGAGAAAAATGGGTATCTAGTTATCACCACATCTCACTAGCAGTAGTCTTTAACAATTAACATTAATGGTTGTTATTTTTCTAAATTCAGAGCTGTCCTGGAGTGTTGAAGAATTACTTTCACCCTTCAAACATTAGGAAATCTACATTAATAATTTGCATTACAACTTTCAGAAAAACAGAATATCGCTGTGTAAAAGCCTAAATTATCATATACCTACTATTAGAGCTAATGATAAATGTATTAGAGTATTTAGGGCCGTTCTTACAATGTCCGGTAAAGTGTCGGTTAACGCTAACCGACTGATAACAGATTTTATTACCGGCAGAATTCTTCCGGTTAAGTGTCGGTTAACTTTAACCGGACGTCGTAAGAACGGCCCTTAGATTGTTAACACATTTGGCTATATATATATATATTATCATTCATAAATGATGCAGACTGTAAACAATCATTTTTATCAAGTGTTTAGTTTTATCAAGGTGTATTGATAAGGTGTCCTCACTTGTTTGAAAACTTAATTGAAAATTGTAATACAGATAGTCGTCACCACCGGGAGAGCTATATGTCCTAAAGAGGCCGATAAACAAATACTTTTGTACAACAAAGTCATAAAAAATTGAAAATATATTATGATTTAAGGAATAAAATTCAAAATTTTTCATTGCATAATGACTACTATGCTCTAAATTATTTGTATGCATGTATTTAAATACTTCATTTTTATCAAATACAATTATTAATATAATTAATATTGTAATTTCCTGTTAAAAAAAAATATATGATAAATGTAAGAGTTAATTCACTAAATTATCATACATAATGCTTTCAAAGTGTTAGAATTAACAAATAATAATTATTAATTAATATATTGATTTTAAATACAATTCATAATATGGTTGATATTGAGTTTAATACTATTTTTTTTTTTTTATAGTATTCATATTACCGTTGGGCTATGTGTTACCAAAATGCATATATTTTGAATACCTTTTTATTAGCATTTATTACTCAGTTGTCCCTATCACCATTAATTGTATAATATATTCATAGCATTTATAGTTAGCATATTATAAAATCAATGCTATTACCTATATATTATTATATATTAACCGAGATCCTGGGGATAGAAACATATCTATATGCTAAATGGTTGATAGATTTATATGGTCATCGTAGATCAGTGATTATTTTCTTTAGACTAGAAGCGTTTATGGAAAAAGTTTAAATACTTAAATTTTAATACTATTATAGTATTATTAATATTTTTCAAAAGTAGGTATATTAAAACATTAATTTACTATACATTTTAATAATTTATCTGTGTGAAATGGTACATGTAATTATAGTATATACCTAATTTAGAAAAAAACAATTAATAATTTTGATTAAAGATAAAAACAATAATGAATAAACTCTATAAAATGTAATATACAATTAACATATCTTAAATGTTTCAATCAGCATCTCCTATAGCATATCGGACATATTTTATTAATTAAATATATTTTGAGTAAATCGCCAAGACCTAAGTACAAAATCATAAATTATACCTAATGTTTGTATTGTTATATTTATTATTTAATACTAAGTATTTCATTAAAATAAAGTGTTTTTTTATTGTTGTATACCTAATTGGCAAATTATCATTTATAATAGAATTTATATCCTTGTATAGAAAGATTTTTGACCCTCCAAAGGACCAAATAGATTCATTTTCCTATCAGAAAAGATACTGTTGCACAAAATCTAAGCATTTTTACTGTCCTAAAAGGTAATGATAGCAGATACACAAAAAAAAAAAAAACACCACATCATTGTAAAATCAATACATTCATTGTTTCACTCAGAATCTAAAATTAATGTACCTAGGTACAAATTTTATAAAATGAAAGAAGTACGCATTCCTACTAATAGAATTTTGTTAAAATGTACAACCATATAAGTAGGTATGAAAACAAAGAATTCTAAATTAATATAAATATAATGTCAATATATTCAAAGTATTCATAAACTATTAGTATTATAAAAATTAACGAACATTTTAAATATACCTATTTAACATTTTAACACCCTATATAATTGTTAATATTGCAATAGGTACCTAATATTTATGAAGATTGTACAGATTGAGCACTTTAAATAATAGTGCATAACACGAGATAACACATTTATATATACAATTTTAATATTATTGATGTTATAATATTATTAACTTAACAATATTAATATTATTTAATAATTTAAAAAGTGAAGGAGGGGTACACATTGGCAAGGGACATCATACGCATAATTGGTTCTGGGTATCCACGACTGAAAATGTGCAGAATATATAGGTACTCACATAAAGTTAAGTTAGTAAGTAAATTGTTTATATAAACTTGAATCAACACGTACAATTGTGTAATTCCAAGGTAAAAAACTGAAATGTATAAGAAGAATTTCACCCTTACACAAGCAACAAGCAGCAAATTACACATACCTGTTACAGAAACAAAGAAAAATGATTTCATGAAGGTCTAGATTTTGATTCATACTCACCTACCAACTAGGGAAAAGTTATTTATGCCAATGCATGTTAGAGGTTTACACTGTAGGCGAGTGACTACAATAGATACATGCTAATGATCACCCATACATACAGAAAGAAAATAACGTCCAAGTACAAGTAACATAAGTTAAATAATATGGTTCAATGGTTCATCTAACTTTTGGAAATATTCAGTATATATATTAATTATTAAGTCAATATAACTATAAGTCTAGATAATATAAGGTCCTTAATAACTAATACTATATAAGTACCTACATTGTATTTTTCACCAAATAGTTATACATTTATAAGAAAATAAGTAATTAAAACCAATAAAATAATATAGGGCTATGTTGACTATAATATACCTATTTACATTTACTATGCACAATTACAAAATTATTTATTTTTCATGTACAACATAGAAAATATAGTGTGTCCAGCAATCCAGCTGGAAATATATTATTTTAATATATTATTAAATATGGTATGAAAGGTAAAACGTAAGAATATTAACAGTATTATCATATGGAATTCTAACGATACTTCAATCTTCAAGAT